TTTGCTGCCCTAAAACACTCTGTTCAGGCCACCTTGAAAATAAAGGTCTTGTAGCTACAATTCTGTTCCCAGGTATGGCGCGCATCAGGCTTCACAGACAGTGGAAATAGCTTCTTCCCGGCTTTGCACTGCGAATCAGCCCCACAAAAGCGCTGGCTTTCGTTTTGCAGCTTCTCAGGTTGAGTTAGATATGCTTGCTGCTAAGATCGGCTGAAAAGCGTTTTTCCCGAGTACCAAAAGATTCCAAAGGACCCAAAAGGAGTGGTTTGAGAATAGACGAATGAGCAGCCAAGATGCAGAATAATTACCAGAACCAGTAACCAGTTGGAACCCACCGAACTGACCAGACATACCGGACTGTTCGTGTGAAAAGCCAGGAATGTGGCAAGAAATCCATTAGATGTCGGGGACCAGTAGGGGAAATTCCATCCGATTTCGCTAAGCAGAAGAAGACACTTGGCCATCATTGGCCTGTTCGGTTCAGGGTGGCCCCCCCCCCCAATCCTGTAAAGGTAGATCAGCCCTAGAATCAGCAAGAGATGTTTCATGTCAGTGTTTTTGTTCACAGTTTTCGACCGTTTTCCGAGTGATGACATCAGGCCACTGATTGAAGGGAACAGTTGTCGACAAAGCCCCATGACGGCCCGCGTGGCGCCCTTCGCGTGGTCGTCCTCCACGGCGCTGAAACGCGAACGTTCAGTGACGTGCGGACGATGCCCAGGCAGAACTTCATGGCCCTTCAGCTGGGCATTGCGGTGACGAACACCGGCAATAAGACCCTGGGCGACACCTGTTTCAGCGGGTGCCTGGGGGGTGAAAGTGGCGACCTATGTGACATGGGGTTCAAAAGGAAAAAGGGCAACTTCTCAAGTCCTGATCTGTGACAGCCAACTTTCTTTGCACGGCCCGTTGAAGGAGTTCTATCCAATGCTCACTCAGTCCTTCAGTCCTTGCCCTGCTTCGCGGGTGAAATGTTTCAGCACATCGGTGAGTTCACCAGATAGAAAACAAGACTGGACTCCATGCACGGGACAAGTCGATCTATGGCTCGGTCGATCTCGCTACAGTACATGGTGGACTGGTCACGCTCCATGGGACTACCATATTTGCCGATCAGTTGGGGTGGTTTGGGAGGTCAATGTAGGCATATATGGTATACATGGAGTGTATGGGATATACATAACCTTTAACCCTTTTGGGGGATTGGGAACACCACACGACAAAAATCCAATGAACTCCTTTTGCGGATGACTCCACGGCATTGGGAGTCTGACTGACTGACTGCGGCATCGGGAGTCTGCCTATGGTTGTGGCCACATGTGATTGTTGTTTTTTGTTACCGCTTGGTTTGTAGTATGACACGGGGTCTTGTTTTGACAAGACATGTGTTTCTGCCAGAACAGCGTTCAGAACATCGGTTTTCCATGGCTTTCCGGCGGTTTGGTGATTTGGCCATCCTTTCATGTGGCTGTCAACTTGAAGGGTCGGTTCCCCCGTTGGTATCTCTTCCGAACAACAACGGGAAACACCGCCTGGCATGGAAACCGTGATACGCACGGAACGGTCAGAGGACGATGGTGAGCCCGAAGTTTTGGCAGTAAGGACTGGTTCACTCCATGGTTCAAGCCTGCTCAGGGACACAAAGGCCCACATGGCTTTCCTTATGCCCTATAGTTGATGGCTCCCAATCTTCAAGTCTTACCGGTCAAAAGACCCAGTAAAACCTGGTCCTTTACCTCATTGAGTAGTGATTGTGTACGATCATTCAGTAACATGAGGTCATTTCCCTTGCCTGTAGGCTTACATAGGCATACTGTTCTTCACTGCTGCAGGCTTTTTGTGGCTCAGAATCTTCCAACCGACCATTGACCCAAAGGACCAGCGAACTCGATGGATCTCCAGGCGAACGGATTACAAAGTGTCTCTCGGCCCAAACGCCCACGGTGTTCTCCTCGGTCTGGTGTTGCAAAGGTCTCCAGGTGAAGAAGAACCCAAATTCTAAGACGACTTCAAAGTGGAGATGATATTTTGAAGTGTTGCCTCTCCACTCACCCACCCAAGCGGCCCGAGCGGCCCGAGCTCAGCTTGAGGACACATTCTCGGGGTGTGAGGGCTCATTTTTTCTCCGCAGTATCCGACTTCAAGGCGGACCGAGTCAATAAACCTGCTCTGCCACCATTCAAATCAGGGCTACCACCATCCAAAAACATGTCATGCAACTGTTCCCAACAACAGGGCCAAAAGTGGCTGAAACATCGTGAAACATCTTCACACCTTCCAAATCTCTAGAGGTCAAAGCTTCTTGACTGCGAAAGCAGCCACAATCCTCCTCTTGTCCTTTGATTTTTAGGCCGAAGACTAAAGCCTGTGACTAGAAGCAGCTACAACGTCCCAAATGTCTTCCTCTCGTGCTGTGAAGCGCGAACCACGGTGATTCTCTTCGGTTGACATGGGATGAAGGGTGATCCTCCGCCGTCCGGACCACGCAGAGTGATCGTGATCACCCGACCTGTCGCAGTCGTGTGATGGCTGTAGTGATGGCTGCTGCGTGTCCCCCTGGAACATGGACCACAACCCATTGGTGGAGGCTTTGCCTACTTAAAATCCCATATTTCTTGTTTATCCTCAGACAAGAAATCCATGTTGTTTGGAATGTTGTTTTCTTAAAGCTAGAGAATGGTCATCCCAGATGCTTGAAATCAACGACCAGAACGATGAAGTGGATGAACTCGTTCTTCTGGCATCTCCTGGCAAAAGATACAATTTTGGAACATCCTCAAACATTTGTTTACACCCTGGAAGACTAACATGGACCCTGAAAACCACGTCGGTTGGTAGAGGAAAACAATCTTGCAGGGCCAGTTTTCGGGAGTGTAACTGTTGAACTCTTGTTTGGACCATCCCTTTAAACAAGTTTGGACCATCCCTAAGAGTATTCCTTAAACCAGCCCTTGGTACCGTAGCCCTTGGTAGCACGCTGTAGTCAGAGCGCAGCGCCGAGGTGATGTCGAAGAGGTTCATGAAGAACAAGCTGCTGGGTTCGAAGAGGTTTTCTTCGGGGTTTTAGATGTGAGGTTCACAGAGCCAAAAGGGATACCCTCCTTGAGGCAATCAACCATGGAAGCATCAATCAACTATGGCTGTATTGCCTCCCTCAAACCATCATGGAAGCAGGCTGGAAGCAGGCTGCAGACCCCCCCCCGCGTAGAGGACAAGACTTGGTCGAAACCAGGGGTCGAACTGTTCCACTTCCATGATTGTTTCAGGGAGTGTATAGGGATGGCTTTGGATCTCAACAGATCTCTCACATGAAAGCGAAGAAGATCGCTACAATAGCTTCTTCAGTTTCTGCGAGCCAACATACCGGCATCCTGGACATCCCCGGTGGCTTTGGCTGAAACGAACCAGTTGCTATGGCTTGGTTTCAGTTCTTCGACGGTGGCGAAGTTGGGTAAGCGTGTCATCTACTCTGAAACAGGGCTCTAAACCATTCCCTAGGGCTCCTGGCCCCATGTCCGGTTCGGTGGTTGGACCCTTAATTGGCACCCACCCCTGGCCCATCTTCGAAACGGAGGTGGTTGGAGCTTTAGGCATTGTAAAGCATCTTCACGCAATGTCATGGAAGATTTGGACATATTCAAAGGTGCAATGTTGAACAGGCCCAATGTACACAGGGCCACGTGACCTGGGCGATGGCTCGTTGACCCGTTCACTTTCTCCCCAGCAAGATGGCCTTCGGAGCTCTGCCCCACATCGCCGTGGCCATGAAATCGTGTTCCAGGTTTCATGCAGATGTATGCAATTCTCGTGTCATGGGACATCAGAGAAGACTGATCTTCGATCGATCTGTGAGATGGCGACTTCTTCTTTCGGCCTCCAGATCTTCCTTTTCGGGTTGATTGTTGATTAAACATTAGACCCCCTGCCCATACGGAGGTGCGTTCAATCTGTAGAATGCAGGGTTTTTATTTAGTCAAGACTCAGCAGTACCCTGTTCTTGTTGGGCTATACAACCAAACAGTTCTGCTCTCGGATTGCTAGTTGTCGCAACATCACGTTCTTACCAAATAGCAGGGATCCTTTGAACCTTCTTTTTCATTCAATTATAGTCCAGATATGTCCAGACACTCCACCACGGAATACATCATTCAGCACTTGAAAATCACAAAC